TAAACTTTTAGGAAAAAAATCTACGTGAAAATCTTCATGATTTATATATGAATGTTCATAGCTGTTTTGGTAATAGTCCCAGATTAGGAACAATCTGCATGGCTATCAACACGTGAATCAGTAAACAAATTTTGGTATATCCGTATAATGGAATATTGCTTACCCATAAAAAGGAACACACTATTAGTAAACCATTAGTGTGGTGAATCTCAAAATAATTATGCTCAGTGAAAGAATCCAGAAAAAAAAAAGAGTATTTCTTGTATGATCCCATACATATAAAATTTTAGAGAATGCAGGCTAATCTGTAAGTAAGAACACAGATCAGTGGTTCCTGACGATTAGATAGAGGTCAAGGAGGAGCAGTAGGGATAGATTACAATGGGACATGAAGAAGAGCAGGATGGATAAATTACTTAGAGAGTGATGGTAGTTTCACAGGTGTATATACATTTCAAATCTTACCCAATTATATACTTTAAGCATGTTCAGTGTATTATATGTCAAATATATCTTCAAAAGACTTAATTAAAAAGAAAAACTTATGTAGAACACTATTAAGAAAGTTAATTGGAACCCAGTTTCATTCATGAACATGGATATAAAACTCCTAAACAAAATAGTAACATGTGACTTCTAGAAAGCTTTAAGAAGGATATTACGTCATGACCAAGTTGATTGTATTTCGCATATACAAGGTTTGTTTAACATGAGAGAAATCACGTAAGGTAAATTTGTCACATTGTCATATTAGTGAAAAATCATATCATCTCAACAGATGTGTAAGAAATGTTGGATGAAATTTAATATTTTGATAAGATCATTCATCTTAGAGAATGAAGAAAATCAGGTATCTATAAAAACCTATAACAAACATACTTAATGTTGAAAGATGAAAACCGTTTTTTTTAAGATGAAAGCTTTTAATATGAGGAGTTATAAGTATGGCTGCAGTGAACAATTCTGATCAACACTACATAGATCCCAGTTAGTGTAGTCTGGCAAGATAAAACAATACAAGGTGTGTGTATTGAAGAGGAATAAACAATACTGTTGTCATCTGTAGGTGATATAATTATGTGTGTAGAAATTCCATAGCTATCTCTAGATAACTTTTTATACTAATGAGTATCTTGCAAGGGTAAACCAATCATTATAGAGAATTTTATTTCTCTCTGTACCAGTTTCCTGTATAAAAATGCAGAATTACTATTTATAATCTCATTCAGAATAGAAGAAACTAGGAATAAATTAAGTTCCATATACATTTTTGGAGGGAAGAGCAAAACTCGATTTGGAAACATTAAAGGAAGATAAAATAAATGGAGAGAAATACCATGTACATAAGTTGGAAGACTGCATATTTAAAAGTTGTTTGTTCTTCCATATTTATCAATAGATTCAGTATATCAGGATCAGTTTTTTTGGGGGCGGAATTTGACAAAATGATTCTGGAACTTTATATGGAAATAAAAAGGACTAAGAATAGTGAAGACTTTTGTGGACGAACAAGGTGGAAGTATTTGCTCTTCTGGTTATTAAGGCCTCTTAGGATTAAGGTAATTTGATGTTGGTAGAAGTCTAGACAGATAGACTGATGGAACAGAGCCAGAGCCATATATAAAACTATACATATATAGATGCTTGATTTACAATAAAAGAGACTGTGCAATACTATTGGGAAAGGATGACCTTTTCAATAAAGAATGCTGGGAGAATTTGGTATCTGGTGAAAAAATTGGACCCCTCTTCACACCATACAAAATAATTCCAGTTAGTTTTATTTAGATCCATATTTAAATTATATAAATGCTTTTAGAAGATAGTGTAGGAGAAAGGGTTAGGGGAGGCAAGTAGCCCTCAAATATAGTGTAAAGTAGTTTGGACTTTATTTTGAACATCATAGGAGTTACTAAAGGATTTTGATCCAAGGGCTGGTCATTTGATTTTTTTAAAGAATACAACTATTGGTAGAATCTAAGATAGGTTATAATTCTGTTTCTGGCCATGTTTGAGACTTTGTCTTCTGAAAATCCTTGTAGAAAACACTTTAAAATGTTGGTAAGTCTTAAACACTTGAAATGCCTATCTGTGATTGGAATGTGCTAAGGAAAAATTTGAGGTAATAAATATGAACTTACATTTCAGGGTGCTTATTGCATTCTTTATATCTGAAGTAAGACACTTAGGTCATTAATTTTCTCTTATTTAATTAGAAAAGAACAAGCATGTGATACCTGGATGGGTCTTATTGACATGACTGGATAGTGGTTGGAGACCAGGGATGCTGTTAAATATTGCATAATGCAATATTATCTAGTCTTCGAGAATAATGAATTATCTAGTCCAGGGGCACCTGGGTGGCTCAGTAAGTTAAGCGGCCAACTTCAGCTCAGGTCATGATCTCTGGGTTTGCGAGTTTGAGCCCCACATTGATCTCTGTGCTGACAGCTCAGAGCCTGGAGCCTGCTTCGGATCCTATGTCTCCCTCCCTCTCTACCCCTCCCCTGCTTATGCTCTGTCTCTACCTCAAAAATAAGTAAGCATTAAAAAAAAATTAAAAAAGAACAAGCACAAATCCTTTATATACATGTACACTGGATATGTAGCATTTTGATTCCATTTATAGTTTTGAGAAACATTTAGAACAGTTTATTTGGAAGTGAGAATGATTTCTTTAACATGTTGAGCATATTGGAGAAGTTATTTCTGGCAGGTGTGAGTAGTAGAATAAAGGGATGTAAGCGAGAACAGTTGGAAAACACTAGGAAGACTTTTGTTACTAGAACTGTGGTTTTTGTTATAATTGGACATGTAACAATTTTATTTATTCAGAAACGTTTAAGTCATAGTTTCTTTTTTTTTTTTTTTAATATTTTTATTTATTTCTAGGAGAGAGAGAGAGACAGCGTGAGCAGGGGAGGGTCAGAGAGAGAGGGAGACACAGACTCTGAAACAGGCTCCAGGCTCTGAGCTGGCAGCCAGCACAGAGCCCGACGCGGGGCTCGAACCCACGAACCGCGGGATCATGACCCAAGCGAAAGTCGGACCCTTAACCGACTAAGCCACCCAGGCGCCCCTTAAGTCATAGTTTCAAAAACTAAAATATGCACAAGATGATTTTGAGTTGAACTTAAAATAGTCGGCATTATAAAGAAATTGTCTGAAAGGTTAACAGTAATGCACATGTAATTCTTTTTTTTTTTTAATTGTTCATTTATTTTTGAGAGAGAGAAAGCACAAGCAGGGGAGGGGCAGAGGGAGAGGGAGGGAGACACAGAATGCAAGCTGTCTGCTCTGAGCTGTCAGTGCAGAGCCCAGCCCGAGGCTTGAACCCATGAACTCAGGTCAGATCATGACCTGAAGTCAGACGTTTAACGAACTGAGCCACCCAACTCTCCTAATGCACATATAATTCTATAGGAATTCTAAACATCATATATAATCCTATATATTGAAACAGATTTTTATATTTCTTTAAAAAGTTTTTATATTTATTTTAATTAATTAATTTTTAGTAATCTCTACACCCAATGTAGGGCTCAAACTTGTGATGCTCTACTAACTGAGCCAGCCAGGCGTCCTTGTATTTCTTCTTAAAAACAGCTTTATTGAGATAACTGTTCATATATCATACAGTTCATTTAAACCACATGTTCAGTGGCTTTCAGTATATTTCCAGAGTTGTATAACTGTCACCATAATCAATTTTAGAACATTTTCATCTTCCCAGAAGGAAAGAAACCTTTTAACCTTTAGCCATAACTCTCCAGTCTCCTCTTCATCCCCCTTAAACCCTAGGCAACCACTAATACACTTTGTATTTCTATAGATTTGTCTATTGGATATTTCATATAAATGGAATCATTTTATATGGGGACTTTTGTGACTGGCTTTTTTCAATTAGCACAATGTTGTCAAGGTTGATCCGTATCATAACATCTATTAGTACTTCATTTGTTTTTATTGACAAGCTCTATTTTATTGTATTGATATGCCACATTTTATTTATCCATTCATGAGTTAATGGACACTTGAGTTGTTTCCACCTCTTGGCTATTATGAATAAAGCTGCAGTGAACATTTTTGTACAAGTTTTTTTTAGATATTGCTGGATCATATGATCACTCTATGTTTAATAGTTTAGGAAATTGTCAAACTTTTGAAAGGAGGCACACCATTTTACATTCCCATCAAGTACTGTGTGAATGTTCCAGTTTCTCCACATCCTTGCCAACATATACTATTATCTGTCTTTTTTATTATAATCACGCTAGGGGGTTCAAAGTGGTACCTCATTTGGTTTGATTTGCAGTCCCTAATGATGGGCCCTTTAATATCTTATGTGAAGAAATGTTTATGTAAATCTTTTGACTTAAAAACTTTTTTTCTTGAGTTTATTTATTTTGAGAGAGAGAGAGCAAGAGAGCACATGTGGGGGAAGGTCAGAGAGAAGTAGAGACAGAATCCATAGCAGGCTCTGTAACATCAGTGCAGAGCCTGATGCAGAGCCTGATCTCCCAAACTGTGAGATTGTGACCTGAGCCGAGATCAAGAGTCAGATGCTTAACTGACTGTGCCACACAGGTGTCTCTCTTTTGGCTATTTTTAAGTTGGGTTAATTTTCTTTTTATTGTTGGGTTGTAATTGTTTTTTGTATATTCTGGAGCTTCAACCCTTATCAAGTATATAATTTGCAAAAATTTTCTCCTTTAGGTTGCCTGTTTACTTTTCTTGATTGTGCCCCTTGAAGCAGAAAAATTGTTAATTTTGATGAAATCCTTATCTCTTTTGTTGCTGTTTCTGTGCTTTAGGTGTCTATTAATGTATTGTTTGAATATGTTCAAAAATGATTTCTTTACATTATTTTGCATTAAGTTTTAGTCATGTTATTGTTTTATTAACATTTAAGACTGATAAAGTTTAGTAGAAGCAGCAGTTTTTACATTTTTTTCTTTCCTGTTTTTAATTTATAATTTTGTCCGGAACTTTTGTTACAGCTCTATAGTATCAACCCTCCTTGCTCTTATGGATGGATTAGATAACAGGGGTGAAATTGTTGTTATTGGTGCTACAAACAGACTTGATTCTATAGATCCTGCTCTCAGGAGACCGGGTCGTTTTGACAGAGAATTCCTTTTCAACCTGCCTGATCAAAAAGTAAGTTTCTGTTTTCAACGTGTTAGGATTTATTTGTGATCCCATTATCAAGCATTAACGCACTTGGATGGTGATATTTTATGAATTTTCATTTCAAAAATTTTGTGCTTATGGAATATCTTAGTTAATTCTCAGAAAAAGCTTGTGGTTATTGAATAATTTAGTCTATTACTATTAACAATTATTAGAACACGTATGGCTTTTAGGAAAACTCTTGATTAGGTTACTAAAATGCTTACTTTAGTTCTCCAGATTGTAGTAATTATCTTGGATGGCAGGTTATATGTCTCCAGTTAGCCAAAGTAGCTTTGTTCTCATAAAAATAATGTTTTCAGAATATTAGTGAGCTTATGAATAAGAACCCAATGTGCAAATTTTCGTAGAAATGACCATAACATCATATTTAATTAATGAGCAGCAAAAGTTATTCATTATAGTGTATTTTTTTTAAAAGAGTGTATAATTACACAACGTATTGGCATTGTGTAAAATGTTAATTAATATACAAGTTTTTTTCCCTAATTCTGCTTGAAATTTTTATTATTCTGGTTTGTCCAGTTTATTCATTGACTTGTCTCTTCACGAGGATCTCAAGTTTGAGAGGGAGAGATATATATAGAGAAGATACTATATTTGACAATGTAATTGTAATTACATTTTTACATATAATAAAATAATTACATGTAATTAAATTTCTATGTAATTTAACATTTTAAATAAGCCTAATTAAAACATAACACATACCCATACAAATATAACCTAAAGAAAGAAGATACTATTTATGAATATATAATATACACACATGCACATTTGTAATTGTTGCATAGCTTTGATTTAGATCTCCATATAAAATGCCTGGTTTACATACACAGATGTGAAATGCTGTGATTAGTAGGATGGTGTAGAAGACTATGGGGAAATGAAGTCAATGGTGCTACTGTGTAGAACAATTAATACTTCAGTTTGAAATCAGTCTGCACATCAACTAGTAGTTGTCTCTGTTTTGGACTGTCTAACTTAGAGGCTTTACTTTGGTACTGAATTTACCTAACTTTATCAGGATAGGAAACAGCGTATACAGCCTCAGTTTCATCACCCAAGTGCAGCTTCCAGGACTGTATCAATGTGTAGAGGTGTGCTTAGGTATAGGGACAAGGGTAGAAGTGGGAACAAGTCTATTTCAGCACAGGGAAGCACCAGCTATCTTTGGAACATCTTATAGTCCAAGCACATCTTTTAGGCTCTAGCATAGGTGGGGAATGTGTTTAGTTCTGAGACATAGCCCGTGTTCATTTCGGCACAGGAAAGCCATTATCCGAATTAACCAAGTATCTTCAGTTTACCCTAGTCATGTGGATCTCAGTCATGTATGCCAGTCACGATACTCACACTTCAGGTACAATCTATACAAATCAGAGATTTAACAATAAACCAGGACTAGAACAGCACTGTCCAATTGAATTTTCTGTAATGATGGAAATGTTCTGTATTTGCATTGTTCACTAAGCAATGTCCAGTATGGTAGCCACTAGTCACATGTGGCGTTTGAGCTCTTGAAATGTCACTAGTATGACTAAGGAACTGGGTTTTAAAATTTTCTTTAAAAATTTAAATACAATAACCATATGTAGTTAGTGGCTTACCATATTGTATGGCATGGATCTCAACATAGTTTTCCATGTTAATTTTAACTTTCTACATTTCAAGGAAACTACTTTGAGACCTAAACCTAAGGTCATTTTTCTTGGTCTGTGTCTATGGAAAAGGCCTGAACTAGCTATTTTTGCTTAGATAATGTTTAAAGTCATGGATTATCAAGATTAGATGAGATTATCAAATCCTCTGTCCTAGGGCATAGTCAGTAAAGTAAGAGGAAAACTACACGAGTAGATTCTGGAAGCCAAGTGAAGAAAGTAAAACAATGAGAAGCGTATGACTGATTTGTCAGATGCTGCTAAATTAACTCGGATGAGGACAGAAAATTGACCATTGTATTGATCATTATGCTGGTCATTGGTGAACCTGATGGGAGCAAGTTGATTTAGTGATGGGTGCAAAAAAGCTTGTCTGGAGTATGGTTATCTTAAGAGAATAGGAGGGGATGAACTGGAGATAGAGAATGAAGGTAGGTTTTTCAAAGAGTTTTGCTCCAAAAGGGTGCAAAGGGTTGAGGTGAGGTGATAAATGTCGAGGGAATTGGAGGCAAGAGAACCCGTGTTCTTAAAAAAGCTGGGACAGTTATCCACTAGAGAAGGAAATTTTGGTGATGAAATTGAGAAACAAGAATTACCACAACGTGTCCTTAATAGGCAAGAGGGGGGACAGTATTTACTATATGAGTGGTGAGAATGATTTTAGATAGGAATTGGATAGTTCTTCTGTGATACTAGGGAGAAGACAGAGTATTATGGGTACATATGCCAACAGGTGGACAGAATTGGTGTGAAAAGTCTTTTGAACTTCTCTCTTGACTGCTTCGGTTTTCTTAGTGACTTAGGAAGCAAGGTCTGAATGAGAAGCTAAGTGTGAAGACAGAGAAACTGAACTAGTTTGCTAGGAGATAGCCTTACTGAATGGTTTAGGGAAAGAGTGAGGGGAGCGTTAAGGATCCATTTGGACATTCATTTAAAGCAATAGTCTGTCCATGTCTCATGTTAGTCCTGTAGTTTGGGCAGTGGAATATCATGATTCCTGTTGTTTGACCAAGTAAAAGTTAAAAAAAAAAAAAAAAAGGAAAAGGAAGCTCTGGTTCTTACAACTTTTGGTAATTTTGTTAACCCTTTATTAGCATAAAATAGCACGTACCTTCTTGAGGCAGCGATGCTTTTTAATTTTTTTTGTTTTTTTTCTTTATTATCATCAACACTCATGATTGTTACAGGTGTTCTTTGTATTTCTGAATCTTGAAAAATGAGAGCTTGAATATGCCTTTGACTTTTTTTTTTGGTTTGAGAGAGAGAGATGGAGCACATATACGTGTGCAAGCAGGAGAGGGACAGAGGGAGAGAGAGAGAGAGAGAGAAAGAGATTGAAAATCCCAAGCAGGCTCCATGCCCAGAGCAGAGCCCAACGTGGGGCTCAATCCCATGACCCTGGGGTCATGACTTGAGCCAAAATCAAGAGTTGGATGCTCACTTGACAGGTGCCCCTTTAACTATTAATAGTAGAGGAAGCTACTTTCTAGTAGGGAAAGCCATGTAACTTTTATACACACACACACACACACACACACACATATGTAGAGAGAGAGTGTGTGTTAAAGTACATAATGAAGCATTTCTGATTTAGTTAAATTCTTCTATTTCTTGTTTTTATGATAGAGAAAGGAGACTCTGATTGATTCTATAGAGAAAGAGCAAGGCACTAAATGTCTTAGAGACCGGACAATAACTTTTGACCTTAGGTAATTTCATTTCTCTAAACCTTTACTTATTTTGTAAAATGACAGGGTAAGAATAGGTATTTTTTGTGGTATCTTCTAGCTTAAAATTTTTTTTAATGTGCTTCTGATTCTATGAGGGTCTTCACTAAGTGGTGCCTGTGCTGCGAATGAGGCCAAATAGATCTCTTAATGTCATCTTCTGGAGAATATAAACTCTCAGGATGATATCTTTTTGGACCTTGATGTTATACTTTTTTGGTATATATTCAGGCAGATACTTCGAGTTTGAAGAAAATAAATGTCACATCATTGCTTTATTTTGGGTAGCTGAACTTCTAACTTAGAACTTGGAATTAGAGCAATAGCTATTGATAATCAAATTTTATCAACTTCAAAAAATTTTTTTAATATTTATTTATTTTGAGAAAGAGAGAGAGAGCGCGCGCAGGAGGAGGGGTAGAGAGAGAATTCTAAACAGGTTCTGTTCAATCAGCCGAGAGCCCTATGTGTGGCTCGATCCCACAAACTGTGAGCTCATGACCTGAGCTGAAACCAAGAGTCAGATGCGTAACTGACTGAGCCACCCAGGTACACGTCAGTTTATCTTGATGACTTTGAAGTTCTTTTTGCTGGACCCCAAATTCCTCATTAACCCAATAAAATTATCCTCTTTGTTATAAGTTGCTTTTTCATAGTCTTGAGAATCTCAACTATCAGTGTTGAGGGAACAAGTGTTTTCAAATTTCCTTGAAAGAAGGCAAATGTGAAGGTAAAATTCTGATATACCTCTTCATGTTGGTAATATCAGCTGATTATGGATTCTTACCACTTCAGTTTCTTTTTAACTGTGGAAGAAAAAGAAATTTCATTTAATCTGAAACCAAGGTGTTAAAATTTTGATTGTGCTATGTAGTCAGATTAAAGGTAGAAAATGCTATTTTGAAAAAAAAAAATCAAGGTAGAATTGCTCAAACATTTGACTTTTTAAAATGAATTGGATTAATATTCACTGAAATACTACCATGTTATATATTAAAGTATCAACTAACTTACAAGATAATGATATGCATTATATTTCTTTACTTGATTGAAAATGTTTTCAATTTTAAAACTTTTTTCAAGTTTTAAATTACTTGTTTAGCTCATTGGCAGTCATAATACCTCATGCATGTGATAGAACCAAAAGTTCTGTGAAATCTGAATCTGTAGTTTAAAGGTTAACACTGAGTGGGGTGCCTAGCTGGCTCAGTCAGTAGAGCATGTGACTCCAGAACTCAGAGTCATGAGTTCAAGCCCCACGTTGGGCGTAGAGCCTACTTAAAAACAAAAAGAAGTTAGCACTGAGTATGGAATTGTTGAATCATTATGTTATACATTTCAAACTATTTAACACTGTACAATTATAATTAATTATATTTCAATAAAAGATTATAAATGCTATATACATTAAACTATATTTTTCTATGTATTTAGATGGTAAAAATGATCTCAGGTCATTCATTCAAAATATTGAAACTTAGTTTTTAATTTTTTAATTAAAAGTAAAAAATTAGTTTTAAGATTAAAAAAAAATTTTAGTGTTTTATTTCTGAGAGAGAGAGACAGTGTGAGCAGGGGAGGGTCAGAGAGAGAGGGAGACACATAATCTGAAGCAGGCTCAAGGTTCTGAGCTGTCAGCACAGAGCCCAACGTGAGGCTTGAACCCATGAACCGTGAGATCATACCCTGAGCCAGTGTTGGATGCTTAACCGACTGAGCCACCCAGACGCCCCTTAATGTTTTTTTAAAATTTATTTCTGAGACAGTGTGAGTAGGGGAGGGTCAGAGAGAGAAGGAAACACAGAATCTGAAACAGGCTCCAGGTTCTGAGCTGCCAGCACAGAGCCTGACGTGGGGCACCATGAGATCATGACCTGAGTGAAGTCGGACGCTTAACCGACTGAGCCACCCAGGTGCCCACTTAGTTTTTAATCTAGTCCTAGATGAGTCAAGATCAGTCACTTAAGTCATATGTGCCACTAGTTAACTCCTTCACCTCTCAGAATATTAAATATGTTAGTTTGATAAACAGAGACATGGTCTCTACTACGTATTACTGTATTGTTATTATGGGAAATTAGAGTTGATGTGGATGCCATGGTGTTTAAATTTCTTTTAAAATAAACAGTTGCTGGGGCGCCTGGGTGGTTCAGTTGGTTGAATGTCCAGACTCTTGATACCAACTCAGGTAGTGATCTCAACAGTGATCTCATGTTTCATGGGATTGAGCTCTGGTTCAGCCTCTGGGCTGTCCGTGCAGAGCCTGCCTGGGATATTCTCTCTCTCTCTTCTCTCTCTCTCTCTCTCTCTCTCTCTCTCTGTCTCTCTCTCTTTCTCTTTCTCTCTCTCCTTCCTCTCCCTCTCTTCCTCTCAACCCCTCCCACCCCCCACGTGCTGTCTCTCCCTCAAATAAACTAAAAAAAAATGAACTAAAAAAAATAAGCAGTTGCTTTTCTGGGGTGGTGGTTAGCGCATAAATTTGTTCCAGCGAATACATTTGAGAGGTTGATGATATTTTATTTATTTGTACTGTTTTTCTTAGGCAAGAAAACACATTTTACAGATCCATACCAGGGATTGGAATCCAAAATTGTCAGATGCTTTTTTAGGTGAATTGGCCGAAAAATGTGTTGGTGAGTGCTATTATTTGAATTCTTTCATTGTTATTGTTTGTGCTGCCGGCCCTTTCCCCTTATGTTTGGAATGTGAATGAATATAGTTATGTCTCTGTGCAATAGATGGCTGGCTTTGCCTTTAAATGTAACACTTATTTTGAACATTTCACTTGAAGTTTGAATACTTCTAAATTACAATTTTAGCTGCCAGTAGGTGTTTGATTATTAATAAAGCTAGTAGTAATATGCTTTCATTGAGTGCTGGATTTCCATGATATTAGTGCATTGTATCATTTTAGGAATTGTTCTCTTTTAGAAATTTTGCTGAGAAAAATAAGCTAACCTTTAGAGATAAAGGTCCACATCAAAGGCAGGACTGCAGTCTTTTACTTTGCAGATTGACGGGCTCATCTTCATTTCTGTGGTCTAGAAAGAAGTTGAGTGAGAGGAGTCTTAAAGAAAATACTGGCATCTGCTAGTATTTCCCCAAATACAAAACTGTCCAATTTAATGTTAAATTATTCATAGAGTGGAAGATCCTCCCCACAGAGTGAATGACTACTACTGTCCTAAAAGGATATAGTAAGAGTATTTTATGTACATACAGGATCATACATAGGAGATGGAATTCAGGGTTTTGGCTCTAATTAGGTCTGAAATAAAAGTGAATAGTGTATTAAGCAACTGAATATATACACTGGTATTTTCCCTTCATTCTTTATCTATCTTCTGTCTATTTTCCTCTTATTCTCTCAGAAATAAAAATTAAAAATCTTTCTCCATGAACTTTTTAAGCATTATGAAAAAATCCCCAAATAAGCTCACTAACAATCAGCAGTCTACTTGGGAAAACTTTAAAGTTACCAAAACCAGAAAGAATAACTTAGTTAAAAAATCATTTTGATCCACCATCAAATATTAAAACTTAAATAGAACATTAGTCCATTCAGTTAGCTACATCCGAATTATCCTCTTCATCCACAGGGACCTCCATCTCCGAAGCAGCATACCTCAACTTTTGAACCACAAAGACCTCGACATCTTCTGGTGAGGAGAAAACGTAAATCTCTCTAGCACTACTCCAGTTTAAGCTTTGCCTGGTATAAGAGAGCATGCGCCAAACCCATTTCATGTAAATTTGGCTTGACCTCTGCAAAGCCCTTGTGCTGCTTTATGGGAGAGGGTGGTATTTGGTACAAAATCCAGTCTTTTCCCTTTTTGAAATTTGACCCCTTTTATTTCCTGCTACTTTTATGATATTTTACTAGAGTATGGATCAGACTGGGAAATCTTTGTAGATTTTTGTGAATTTGCCACAGAATGATCCTTAGCTAAAATAAGCAGTAGTCTTCAAATAATTTTGGAAATTCCCTAAAAGATAGGTGTTTTAAAATTACTTACTATTACCCTATCTACCATCTGAAAGATTACACACTAATTTTTCATCCTAAATATTAGAATCTCAGTTTCCTTTTTTCATTTCCAAAGGCCACAACTTCTCATTATTCTAAGTGATTTATTTTAGCTTTAAAAGTCAGTTTCTTAAGTTTAAACATTTTTGAGACATAATTTCTTATAGGACTAAAAAGTTCCTCTTGCCTTTTGTGGGGGGATGGTGGTGGTGGTGATGGTGGTTTAGAATCTGCTTACAGTATACACCGTTTTCTTCCTGGAGAGTTACATAAAAATCTATTATAATTAAATGACTTCTGTTTTTGATTTTGACATGTATTCCATTTAAGTTGCCAGTTTCACATAAAAAATGCAGGTCTTCAGACAGAAACAGAATAGTAATAAGTTTTAAATTCATTATGAACTTATCACTTTCTGTATCCCAAACATTTTTTAACATGTATGGGTTCAGTTCATTAAAATTTATGCCTAATAAAGGGTATGTAGTCTTGATGAAAACTGCAGCGACAACTGACCCCTTGTTAGAGGTTATGGATTTGGTAACTTTTACCTTAAAATAAATTCCCAAGTACTTGGAGGTATTTGCATGCATTATAGGTGTGATTTTTTTTTTAAAAGCAGTCCTCACATAATTTTGGCGTCCAGATCACATGTATGAATAGTAGGAGCTTAAGGTTATGAGGACCTCAAACCTAATCATATTTGTCTATTTATTTTCACTGAGAGGGCCAAAACAATGAAAGTGTCCCAGTGAGAGGTCTTTCTTGTGGACCTTATGTTTGATGTTTTACGTAAATGGTAACTTCCTAAAACTTTATTATTATCCTTGTCTAGTCTGTAACCTTTTTAATAGCTCATATTTTCAGTTTTGCAGACAAGTTTCCATTTCAGTGGCAATATTTAAGAATGCTTTTTCTTGGGGTGCCTTGCTGGCTCAGTTGTTAGAGCATGAGACTCTTGATTTCGGATCGTTAAGTTCAAGCCCCGCATTGAGCATAGAACTTACTTAAAAAGAAAAAAAATTTGCTTTTTCTTTGATATCTAGATATTTGTGTTCATCAGTATTAGAATAGTAATGGTAGAATTAATATGATTATGGAATTCTTATGAAAGGGATGTTGATTTTTTTTTAACATCAGCTTTTAACTTTCAAAAGACTGTAGTGTGTTTTCTGTGTATCTAGGGTGATCATGTTACCTGCATCTAGTTTTTAAATCAGAATCCTTTAGAGAGTGAAAAAATACACTTTTAATTCTGACAAGACAAGAGGCCTAAACCAGGACACGTGATACTAAATATAATTATTTAGCCATGGTTATCATGTAATTTTTAATTGTTTTAGAGTCTAGTAAAGGAAGTATATTATTAAATCAAGTAGTTCTCAGTTTTTTCCTTTCATATGTCAGAATCACTTGTAAAGTTTTCTCAGAATAAACATTTATGATATTAAACTGCCAGAGATTCTGATTCACTAGGTTTGTTGGAAATCCATTGTTGGCAGTTTCATTGTTGAGTAGCCAAGACTGAGAACCCCAGATATAAACCAGTAATTCTCATTCACAGGCAAATGTAATGAAGATAATTTCATTCTTTTTGTCTATTGATTATGATAATCTGAGTGAAAATTAATTTCTTTAAATGGGATCTGTTGTTGGTAACTCTTAAATTATCTTTAGTAGATTAAGAAAAAATGACCAGTCCATTGCTATTATGTATTTTACTGACATTATGTCAAACATGAATGTTATGAGCACCACTTAGATAAAATATCTTTTAGTGGCTTTTTCTGTTTTGCATTGTTTCTGAGTTTTTTTTAATTTAGGCTTTTGCTCTTAGAAATAGGTTCATATAATACATTCACCAGGTGTGTATGTTCTTTTCAAGAAGAAAAAGAAATGTGGTTGTTTATGTTGTTTAAAGATGGTAGTTTATTTTTTACTTGTTCTGAAGTGGATTATTTGATTAACTGTTTATAACTGAGCTGGTATTTTACAGTTATTTTGTTGAACTAGTCTAATTAGGATATGTATGGCATGGGAAAAGATACTTTTTTCCCCCAGGGCTATTCATTGAGAAATAGAATATAAAATGAAAGACTAATGGTAAATTTCGTAGATTGATTGCTGTCATGGGACAGTGTTCATGCTTAGTCTGCTTATAGTTTTCTAAATTAGATTCTTATAGTCATACTAAGTTTTCCTTTAACTGAATAAATATTTCTTGAACAGTGCAGAAATTTTCCATGTTTTTCATAATTTTCATTATGAAACTTTTACTCTTCATTAATGAGTAAAGAATTTAGATATCTTCAAAAAAGATGAAAAATCTAGTAGATATAATTCCTCCACTTTTTATGATAGTACATGGTAATGTAACAGTTTTACTTTCCCAGACTATAACCCTGGAATTACTTTCTTTTTTTATTCATTCTTTTACTCAAGAAATATTTACTGGATATCTACTGAAGGCTAGGCCAGGTATTATTTTCAGTATATGAGATATGTTAGTGGACAAAACTGATGAATACTGTACACTCACAAAGCTCACATTCTAGTTGGGGAAGGCAGACAGTAAACATAATAGGTAAATGACAAGGTGGTACATGTTACGGAAGAAATGGAGCAAAGAGGACTTTTTGTTATTTGTGAAACTCGATGAACAGGATGGCCCTACTAACAATAGAGGTGCATTTTGGTTGTGTGAGTTACTTACAGTTTGATTTATCTGGTTTTGTGCCTTAATGTTCTTTTTCTGCCAGTTAGTCTGGAGCTGTTTCTTTTCTGCTTATAGTTTTCCTAATCATCATTTGTATTTCATTATTCAAGTATTCTACAATGTCATTGCTTGGTATAAGAAGATAAATAAGCTTGATGCCATTCTTGGAAGAGCTTAGGGTTTAGTTTTTTTTTTTTTTTTTAAATGTTTTATTTATTTCTAGGAGAGAGACAGCGTGAGCAGGGGAGGGACAGAGAGAGAGGGAGTCACAGACTGAAACAGGCTCCAGGCTCTGAGCTGGCAGTCAGCACAGAGCCCGACGCGGGGCCCGAACCCACAAACCGCGAGATCGTGACCTAAGCGAAAGTCGGAAAGTCGGACGCTTAACCGACTAAGCCACCCAGGCGCCCCTCTTAGGGTTTAGTTTTAAAACTAGTTCGAATAGTTCCCCCTGCTGGCATAACTGATAAAAGTGACCAAATGCAAGTTTAATTGCTGATATAAAAGCAACATAGCTGGTTTGAGTTTTTCTTCCTTTTTCTGGTTAAGACCTAACAGTTTGTGTATTTTTGTATGTATTTGTTGCTTAAGTGAGTCAAAAGATTTCAAAGCACTGGGGGCTTGACTGTTAACTACAATAATCAGTTACATGTGGGTAATGGGTAATACACTGTGTTTGTATAGACTTTAGAACTAGATTATCAGTTATTTTAAGTTAAAGACATATTAAAAGGAAGTTAATATGGAAAATTAATGGATTCTTATTCCCTTTAATACCTTTGAAATTATGATAGATAGTGACAACTTTAAAGTATAATTTTTGGGGTAATTACATATAAATTTGCTATGGTTGGCACTCAAAGTTGGTAGTAGAATGGCTCTATTTTTGAAATTTCTGCATATATTCTACTTTGTACTGCCCCCTTATATGTGTTTGCAAATTAGTGATATTAGAAAAATTTATAGGTAAGTGTGATGTCTTGAGGACTAAACTAATAATTGATAATATTGATGAAAGATTGAGATGAAACTTATTCTTTAAACACTTTTCCTGAAGAAAACTGTACATTATAATCAGTGTTTTTGGCACAAAATACATGGCTTATCATTAGTTCATGTTTTGTTAATTAAAATATTCAGGATAGTTTTATTACTGAGTAATTTTATTAGGTGATTTACATGGTCAGTGTTTGCTAATAAAATTGTATATAATTATTGATTTAGTATTAATTATTTCCTAATATACACACTAATAAAGATGTTTATATTTGCAAACTATTATTAGTACTGTAAGAATGAACTTATTACCTTTGTTATTCTTTTCCTTTTGTGCATTAGGCTACTGTGGAGCTGACATCAAGGCCCTGTGCACTGAAGCCGCCCTCATTGCTCTGCGGAGGCGTTATCCCCAGATCTATGCTAGTAGCCATAAACTGCAGCTAGATGTCTCCTCAATAGTGCTCAATGCCCAAGACTTTTACCATGCAATGCAGAATATTGTGCCTGCGTCTCAACGTGCTGTCATGTCTTCAGGACATGCACTATCCCCCATCATAAAGCCGCTATTGGAAAGAAGCTTCAACAACATCCTAGCAGTCTTGCAAAAAGTGTTTCCTCATGCTGAAATTAGCCAGAGTGACAAGAAGGAAGGTACTATAAGTTACTTCTTCATATTATTAAAATGAAACAAGTACAGGCATAAATAAATTTTGAGTTTTGTCGTAAGGTTATTTATATATTTGCCATGAATATAGAAAATATTTCTATTTCATTCACCAGGATATATTCCAGGCCTGGTATATTGCTTCGCATATGGTAGTTGCCTAGTGAATGTTTATAAAAAGAAAGAATGAATATTAGTTCTATTATTGCTTGGGAGATTCTATCTTAACATAGAAGTGTTACTGTCTTTAGAAAAGTTGATTATAGGGGCGCCTGGGTGGCATAGTCGGTTAAGCGTCCGACTTTGGCTTAGGTCATGATCTCGCGGTTCGTGGGTTCGGGCCCCGCGTCGGGCTCTGTGCTGACTGTCAGCTCAGAGCCTGGAGCCTGTTTCAGTCTGTGACTCCCTCTCTCTCTCTCTAACCCTCCCCTGCTCACGCTGTCTCTCTCTCTCTCTCTCCTAGAAATAAATAAAAACATTAAAAAAAAAATGAATAGAAAAGTTGATTATAATAAGGATGGGTTACATTTAATTAATTAATTTAAAGACTTTATTTAAAAACATTTTTTAAAATATTTGTTTATTTTTGAGAGAGGACAAACAGAGAACTTGCAGTGGGGGAGGGACAGAGAGAGAGGGAGACACAGAATCCGAAATAGGCTCCAGGCTCTAAGCTGTCAGGACAGAGCCCGATTCGGGGCTCAAACTCACAAACTGTGAGATCATGATAGCTGGAGTTGGACGCTTAATCGACTGAGCCACCCAGGCAGCCCAAGACTTTATTTTTAAATAATGTCTATACCCCACGGGGCTCAAATTTATAACCCCAAGTGCAAGAGTCACATGTTCTACTGACTGAGCCAGCGAGCACCCCTATGTTTAATTTATTATAAAGCCCTTACATAAATTGTCAGTTATTAATCCCCACAAGAGTCCTGTGGGGCAAGTACTTTTGTACTGTAAAGGAGGAGACTGGAAGACTTAGGGACATATTCACTATTTAGGGTCATTCAGTAAGTTCCAGGGCTTACTCAAACCCAGGGCACCTAACTCTAGAGCCTTTGTTCTTAACTATGTTGCTTATAATATCCCTATGGATTCAACTCATCAAATATATTTTTGTGTTATTGCAGTGTGCAGTGCTAATGGAATGTAAATCATTAGTAAGGGAGTAAATTAGAACCTAGTTGTAGAAGGTCTTGAATTCTAGCCTCAAGATTGGACCTGAGATAAAAATAGAAAGTTACCTTTAAAAAGTCATTCAGAGGTGCATTGGTGGCTCAGTTGGTTGAGCATCTGACTCTTGGTTTCAGCTCAGGTCATGATCTTGCAGTTTTGTGGGTTCATGCCCTGCATTAGGCTCTGTGCTGGCAGCATGGAGCCTGCTGGGATCCCATCTCTCTCCCCCTGTCTGCCCTTCCCCAACTCGTTCTGTCTCTGTTTCTCTCAAAATAAATAAACTTAAAAAAAGTCATTCATTTACGGGGAAACTTTCTAGGTTCATATACTAACCAAAGTAAGGCCTATGAACTTTGAAGAGAAAGTAATATTTAAAAAAAATTTTTAAATGTTTATTTATTTATTTTGAGAGAGACAGAACAAGTGCGGTTGGGGGGGAGGGTGCAGAGAGAATCCCAAGCAGGCTCCATGCTGTCAGCGCAGAGCCCATTGCGGGGCTGTGTCTCATGAATTGTGAGATGATGGCCTGAGCTGATGTCAAGAGTTGGATGCTTAACTAACTGAGCCACCCAGGTGCCCCAGAAGTAATATGTTTTAATTATCTTAATTTTCCCAGTTTTTAGTACCTTATTTAGCATGTAGTCTGCATCAGAAAATTGTTCAATTAATAATACTAACATAAAAAATATTATATATACTAAAATCATCAAACATAAAAAATATTATATATACTAAAATCATCAACATTCAGTGTATTTTGTTTATAAATTATATTCTTCAGAAACTGTATTTTTCAGGGATAGATTCTTATGAAATATCCCATGAATTACTTGATTTCTTAAGTTTGTCAAATAGGAGATTAAATATTTTATTATGCATGAACTAGGTACTTGGCCACGGATTGTCTATTTCTTATCTCTGATTTTCATAACTGAGGATATGTATCTTTCTCCCAGTTTTTTTTAAGTTTATTTATTTGACACATGGATATGTGTGGGGATGTGCACAAGCAGTCGAGGGGCAGAGAGAGAGGGGGAGAGAGAATCCCAAGCAGGCTCTGCACCATCAGTTCAGAGCCTGAGGCAGGGCTCAGTCTCAGGAACTGGAAGATCATGACCTAAGCTGAAATTGAGAATGGGACGCTTAACTTACTGAGCCACCCAAGTGCCCCTTTTCCCCAAATTAAAAACAAAAAACAAACAAAAAAACTTATGTTACCTTTAAAAAAATGATAAAAATCTTATCTCTCCATTTGAAATATTTTATGATAATACCTTTATTTTCATTTGAGAGTTTTTTATGGCATTATTATGTTTTCTTATAATTTTATTTATTTATTTATTTTTGAGAGAGAGAGAGAGAGAGAGAGAGAGAGAGAGCGCAAGCAGAGGAAGAGCAGAGAGAGAGGGGTGACACGGAATCCGAAGGAGTCCCTAGGCTCCGAGCTGTCAGCACAGAGCCTGATGCTGGGCTTGAACCCACAAACCGTGAGGTCATGACCTGAGCCGAAGTCAGACGCTTAACTGACTGGGCCCCCTGTTTTCTTATAAATTTTTAAATAAGTATAAAGCATGCTTTAGTTCTAACTTTTCTTCATGTTCCAGTAGAGAAGAGAAATCAAATTTTATTTGATTATTAATGACTGTTTTTTAGTTATTTAGATACATTATTCTGGTTTGTTTTGGTCTTAATGTTCTTCTTAGATAGTATCTTTTGCTGGTATATGAAATTATTACCCAAAAGATATTCAATTATTTTTCAGGTTAACTTTCATATTAGTTGTACTAAATATTTAACTTAAATTTTATTTAATGTTTTATTTATTTTTGAGAGAGAAAGAGAGACAGAGTACGAGCAGGGGAGGGGCAGAGAAAGAGGGAGACACAGGATCTGAGGCAGGCTCCGGGCTCTGAGCTGTCAGTACAACGGGGCTGGAACTCAAGGACCACAAGATCATGACCTGAGCCAAAGTCAGACACAACTGAATGAGCCACCCAGGTGCCCCGTAAACATTTAGCTTTTAAAATCTATTGAGGGGCGCCTGGGTGGCTTAGTCGGTTAAGCGCCCGACTTTCGCTTAGGTCATGATCTCGCGGTTCGTGGGTTCGAGCCCTGCGTCGGGCTCTGTGCTGACTGCCAGCTCAGAGCCTGGAGCCTGTTTCAGTCTGTGACTCCCTCTCTCTCTGGCCCTCCCCTGCTCACGCTGTCTCTCTCTCTCTCTCTCCTAGAAATAAATTAAAAAAAAAAATTAAAAAAAAAAAAAAAAAAGATAAAATCTATTGAAATCTGTATCTGTCAGCACAACTTAGTACCTCTTTTTAGAAAGTAGAAAAAATAAATTCCTCTTTTATTTCTTTGTTCTTTTTTTTGAGAAGGGTATGATTTCTATTGACCTTAATTTTCTCTCATATCTCTTACACATGTAGTATTACTTTTTATTGAATGAATTGACGCTTTTGTTAGGCATGTGTGAAGCACAGCTATTGTAGTCCTTCAAGCTGTAGTTCACATAAATTTAAAAAAATTATTTTAACATTTATTTATTTTTGAGAGACAGAGACAGAGTAGAGGCAGGGGATGGATAGAGAGAGGGAGACGAAGAATCTAAAGCAGGCTTCAGGCTCTGAGCTGTCAGCACAGAGCCCAGTTTAGGACTCAGATCTACTGACTGCAAGATCCTGACCTAAGCCAAAGTTGGACGCTTAACTGATTGAGCCAGCCTGGTGCCCCCAGATAAATTTTTTAAGTATTGCATTTTCAAGGGAGATTTATATTTATAGTTCTAGTTTCTCCATTGAACATTAATATATAGCAGACCCATATAGAGATTAATGTTACTTGATGAGTGCATTTAAAAAATATTTTTTTAATATTATTTTTTTATTTTAGAGAGAAGGAGAGGGGTAGGGGGTGGGGGGGAGAGAATCCCAAGCCGCCTCCATGCTCATCGCAGAGCCTGGCGAGGGGTTTGATCATGATGCCAAGATCATGTCCTGAGCTGAAGTCAAGAGTTGGATGCTCAACTGTTTGAGCCACCCAGGCGCCTCAAATGATGAATGCGTTTTTCAGATTGGCTTTGTTTCCACGGAATTACTCCTTAACTAGACTAGATTTTATTTGTGAAGGTGTATATGTGTGTGCCATGTTAAAAAAAAAAAAAAAATCATTTTGGTCCTTGTTGCTTTTGTAAAAACTGGCCATAACTCAAGTTTACCATAGTAGCTAAGCCAAATGTCTTCTATGAAATGTACCAGTTTTGGTCACAATTAACTTAGAGATTTTTAGTTAAGTATGTGGGTGTTTTATGAGGGTGCCATTTATTTTCTATTTCTTGAGGCTAGTCAACGAAGTCTTCCAAATCACATCTCATAACACTTAGGCAGTCTCTAAAGGTGAAAGAATTCCACTGATTCTATTTACAAATTATTAAAAAAAAAATCCTACAGTTTGTCAGTTTGCTTGGTCGATTTGTATTTGATAGGTAACTTGTTAATGTCACACGATTTTTAAACCAATTTTCCTTAGCTTTGGTGGGACATTAATATTAAATGACTTTACAAGTCATTTTTTTTTTTGAAACAGATATAGATACTCTGATTTTAGATGATAGTGATGATGAGAATGCTTTATCAATTTTTGAGACCAGTTGTCACTCAGGATCACCAAAGAAACAGTCATCAGCTGCTGCTATACATAAACCCTACCTTCATTTTACAATGTAAGTAATGTATCAGTTTTTTAAAAATTTAGAGTGATATTTACTATTTGTGGTTAGAATTATGGTACATTATTACTTATGGTTGTAACTTCGAGGACTTTGTTTTCTCTGTCATTTGGACACAATTCAGGAACATTTTTACTGTGTATGCTTTTTTCCTCTGGTAATAAATTGGTTTATTGGTGATCTAAAGATGGTTTTTTGTAAGCTCATTGTGTGCTTTCTTTCTCTCTCTTTTTCCCTTTCCTTCCTTCCTTCTCTCCTTCTTTCCTTCCTTCCTTCCTTCCTTCCTTCCTTCCTTCCTTCCTTCCTTCCTTCCTTCCTTTCTTCCTCTTCCCTCTCTCCCTCTCTTTCTCTTTCCCATCCCTTTCCCTTCTCTTCCCTCCTCTTCTTTTCGTTCTTTTTTTCCCTTTCTTTCTTAACCAGGGTAGAAGGAAGGACTGTCTTTAGAAAATCAGCTTATGTCCCCAATTTTAATGCCTTTTATTGTGAACTAAAATGGTCACAAATAAGATATTAACCGTGATCTGGAATATTTTAATTTGTAGTGTCAGATGGTAATTTAGGGATTCTCAGAGTACTAAAGAGATTCTGAATTAGAAATCTCTCAGTAAACAGATAAACAGGTAACTTTCTGGTTCTCCAAATCCTCATTAGTTTACACTTCTCTGATTTCGATTTTATTATTTTTCTATTTACATTTATCTTTATCCATGTTAAAGCATCTTTTGTTATGTGCTTTTTATTGTTAAACAATTTTAGTGCTAATGCAATTTTTTAAAATCTAAATTCTAGTTAGTTAACATATAGTGTAATAAAGGTTTCAAGAGTTGTGCTAATGTAATTTTAAATTAAGAGATCAGCTTCCTCATTTACATAATTAGCATGAATTTTAGAGGACCATATTGCTTCTGTCAGGCAGATCTAATAGCACTTTCATTAGAAAAGGCTGGATTGATTGATTGTACTTTTAAGTAATTTTTTTCAAATCTGTTTTGAACAAATTTAAGTCTTCCAACTTGAAGTTTTTCCTATGTAGATTATGGTGAAATGTTAATTTGATTATTTGTTTTGATAACTCTTTCTTAGTTTTTATTTTTTAAAATGAGGATAAGTTATTTTCATTTACTCTTTGTTTTGTTCTTTAACAGCAAGCTCTTCTATTAGAAAATTCTCTTCTGTTCTAGATCTTTTCTTTTATGTCCTTAGGGATGTCTTCTTAGACTTTTTCAGTAATTTCACAAGTCTGTTTTATTGATGGCCAAGGGGAAACCAAATAATCATTTTTTTCCTGACTCTCACCTGGCTACCCTGTATGTATGTGTATGAGATTGTGATTTGTTATGACAATTTTACTTATCCGGATTTGAAATATATGATAGGAGCTAAGAAACTGTCAAGACTTGTTCCAATTTTATGGGATAGTTCTGCTGTTAGTGATATAGAAATAGATTTTGATATTAGAAAACTTCATGTGCAGTTTTGAGGTTGACCTTTTATTAACATTCTCTGTCATTGATTTAATGTATATCACTGGTATGGCTTATTTTGTTTGGTTTAAAACTTTTTGAAGGGTTTGGCTGAATGTTAATTTCTTTTATGTAAACTTTTTAAATGTTTTATTTATTTTTGAGAGAGAGAGGGAGACAGAATGAGCAGGGGAGGGTCAGAGAGAGAGGGAGATATAGAATCCAAAGAGGCTCCAGGCTCTGAGCTAGCTGTCAGCACAGAGCCCAACACGGGGCTCGAACCTGCACACTGTGAGATCATGACCTGAGCCGAAGTCGGACCCTTAACTGACTGAGCCACCCAGGCACCCCTTATGTAAACTTTTCTAGTTCATGATGTGATTTTTATTTAATAGGAAGCCAGCTATATCCTAGAAATAAGCTTTTTTTTGGTTTTAGATGTTTTGATAAATTCCATTCATTTATTTCTTTATTCTGCCAATTTTTATGTGTTTATGCCAGGCACTGTACTAGGTCCTGAAAACATAAGCATGAATAAGATATAAAGTAGGTTTATACTTTATACTTACTCTGGAGAAGTTCTTGTTATTGAAGGTGACAAACATTGTGATATGGCTGAAGTGCTTTGTTAGCAAAACTAGAAGCTTCCATTGGGAAGTTCAGGTAGGCTTGACAGAAGAAATGGTGATATTTGCTGGCCTTCTGAGTATAAAGGGATAGGAGTTAGCATCTGATGCTCATTACAAACTAAACATGTGGCAGGTATATAAAGCTAGAGACTTTATATATAGCAATTCATATAGGCCTCTTAACAATCATATAGCATTTGTGGGATCATCGTTTTATAGATTAGGAAACCACAATGAGAAAAAAGTATATTGCTCATGATTAACCTGATAGCAGGAAGCAGAGCCAGGCTCTGTACTGTTTGTTTCCTAGGACTCTATATTTTTTTCTATTTTACTGTGTGTGATTTCTAAATTGATTTCTGAGCTTAATAAGGTAGATAGAGAATTGTATTGCTTTTTTGGATAGGTTGGACAATACAATTTTCACACTTTCCAAGAAGCATACACTTTAGGATATAGGCTTTTGATATGTGTTGTACATTTTTGTTATTGTTGGTTTGGTTTGGCCTTCTGTCTGTCTGTCTGGACAAGTGTTAGTATGCCCAGTCAATACAGAAAAAATACTAGACAGGTAGAAAGCATGACTTTAATACTGGTCTCTAGTAACACTAGCTTGGGCATTCCTGGTGGGTTTCTGTTTCTGGGACTAGTTTCCTATAACAATGTTGAAACCTTTATTTAGATAAAAATTTTTTTATTAACATTTATTCATTTTTGAGAGACAGCACAAGCAAGGGAAGAGAGAGAGGGAGACACAGAATCTGAAGCAGGCTCCAGCCTCTGAGCTGTCAGCACAGAGCCCAACGCGGGGCTCGAACCCACAAACTGTAAGATCATAACCTGAGCCAAAGTCAGACACTTAACCAACTGAGTTACCCAGGCACCCCAAACCTTTATTTAGATTTAAGGTGAAATAAAAGTCAAGATATTTAAGGTCTGTCAATCTGATAGAAAACCCTTATCACGGAAAATAAGTTTTCCTTCTTACTCTATATTACCTACCATAAGGGAATTAGAAACCGAGATTTCTGAGGTTTTCTAAATGAAAATAGCTTTGTTTTTTCTGATATACTCTGTAGAAAAATTCAAGTAATTAAGAAGAACTTAAAGAGAAAGTAAAAATTAAAGCCCAGGCACCTGAAGGTAATTTTTGTTAAAGTTTTGGTGACCACATTTCCATATTCTCTGTGCATATAGATGGACCCACTTATTTTTTTAATATAAATTAAAATCCTCCTGTAAGGCTGTTAACATAACTTGCCTTTTTATCCACTGTGTTTGCAACATTATTTCATACTAGTGTACGTTTAATGTCGTTCTTTTAATATTTTATTTTTGGATGATTATTTTTATAACCTTATTGATAAAGATTGAAATTTCCAGGTTTCCTCTTTTATGATACATATATGGATCTGGATAGGCATCTTTCTCAGTATATATTTTTAGCCTGTTATCTGATTGATCGATTAGGGTAAATTTTAAAAACAGTGATTGTTCTGTCAAAGCGTATATACATTTAAAAATTTAATACAGGTTGTTAAACTGACTTCCAGAAAGGTTGTCCCAATTTACATTTTCATCACTGATGTAGGAGAGTGTCCTTTTTCCTGTAACCTTGTTAATTCTGAACAGTTTGCCTTTAAAAATTTTTGCCAACCAGATAGATGAAAATAATATCTTCTTGTTTGATTTATTCATTTGTTCTTTCATATTTACTCTGATACATTATCAAAGTGCCCAGTCATGTGCTACATGTTATTCTAGGTACTTGGAATATATCTGTAAAAAAAATTGGCAAAGACCCTGCCCTTATTGAACTTACATATTAGATAGAGATAGATAATAAAATAAGTATAATAGATAGATTGAATATTAGAAGATATATACTATAAAAAAAATTAGATAATGCTTAAGAGGTCGGGGGGTCCTTGGGAGTGGAATGAGTTGCAGAATATCCTTTGTAAACATTTCAGCATATATGTGATATAATAGCCAAATTTAATTTTGGAAAATTTTGCTTTTTTCCATTACACAATTCATGAGAAAGCCAAATTTTCCCAACATATACTCAATAATAGTATTAAAATTAATTTTTAGTTTATCAGTCTAACATATCTTCCATATAAAATGGTTTTTCATTATTTTGAAAAATTTTTCGGGGCGCCTGGGTGGCTTGGTTAAGCGTCCGACTTTCGCTTAGGTCATGATCTCGCGGTTCGTGGGTTCGAGCCCCATGTCGTGGGTTGGAGCCTGTTTCAGTCTGTGACTCCCTCTCTCTCTGACCCTCCCCTGCTCACGCTGTCTCTCTCTCTCTCTCTCCTAGAAATAAATAAAACATTAAAAAAAAAATTAAAAAAATTTTCATGTCTGTTAATAGCTACCAGATCTTTCCTTTTTTTTTTAATGTTTATTTTGAGCGAGAGAACATGCATACATGTGCTGTGTGTGCACAAGTTGGGGAGGGACAGGGAGAGAGAGAAAATCAGAGAGAATCCCAGGCAGGCTTTGCGCTACCAGCATAGAGCCTTATGGGCTTGGTCTCACCATTTGTAAGACCATGACCTGAGCCGAAATCAGGAGTTAGATGCTTAACAGACTGAGCCACCCAGATGCCCCAACTACCAAATCTTTCTTAAGCCAACATTGGTCTTGAGCTTTAGACCATCTCTAGCTGTCTCTTGCCCTTTGTGTGCCACAGGTCCTTCAGTATGTACTGGACTAGGTTTCCCCTTCTTTTCCACTGGGTCATCTCAGCTCCCATGTACCCATGGAGGTGTTGCAAGTAGAATTGGGGATCTTCCGCAACTCCTTCCTCTTTCTTTCTTCTGTACCTAGTCAGTGTCCAGGTCCTGTAAATTAAGTCTCATCTCAGGCTGTTCCTTCTTACCTCCTCTGACATTGT